TTTTTTGCCCAGAAAGAAGTGATTGTTGGATGCAGCATGGCCACTACGCTCATCCGCATATACAATCTGTCCTCCTTGGATAAGCTCACCTCTTACCCTTTCCCGGAGTTTGACATTTGCATTGATGACACTGGCATCTCATGCACCGGGACCCGCAAACATGTTGTCTCCTCTAGTGTTGCTGTTTCCTCTGCTCTCCATCACGCTATTACTGATGAGGCAGAGATGAACTGCCAACTCGCTTTAGACAAGGTTTGCACCGTTGCATCGTCCAAGGGTGTTGCCAGAGCTTTGTCGGATGCCCTAGGTCAACTCGGAGGCAAGATCACGGCCTCGACGGTCAACCTCGGCGTTGATTATTGTGCTGGAACTTCAGTCAGAGCTTCAGGGCGCTGTTCTAAGCTCAAGAGCAGAGTGGCTCTTCTCTGCAGAAAGGCTGGGCGCATTAAGCGTCAGGCAGGCAACCTCGGTCGCAAAGCCCTCAGCGCGTTCGCTTCGGGGCCCCTCCCTGGAGGGGCCGACGGGGCGGACATTTTGGGGGTGAGCGACCAGGTCCTCCAGACGATGAGGCGGCGAGCTTTTTCTACAGTCAGGCCCTTTGCTAAGAGTGGGTCTCTCACGGCTGTCAGCATCCTGTCGGATGACCCGTGCTGGCGAGCGGCTTGCGCCCCTGTGTTCAGATGGAGCAAGGAGGTGTGGTTGGCGCAAACGCATGAGTACCCCTTGTCCATCCCCCACAGAGAGCTTCGAGACGGTTTTAGGAGCGGTTTCTCGTTGCCCAGAGTCACCTGGCCGACTGTGAAAGGCCCTGTCTCTGCCCCTTCGTCTTACCTTGCTTCGGCTGGGCTGGATCATGGAAGACTATGTTATTATTTCGGATGACCGTGGCTATCGTTTGCAGCTGGGTTTGGCCCCCCCTAAGTGTTTGGAAACTTTGTGCAAGGCAGCATACTTTAGAGGGCTCGAACGCGACCTTGGGGACAAATGGGACCCTGAATGTAGAGCGCGCCTGGACACCCCCAAAGCTGCCTGCAGCAGTAAGAAGTTTACCCCAGGCCAGAGGGGCTGGATTCGGGCCTGTTCGCGCGATGCTATTTGGTCTGCGGACAAGGCCCTTGAGTGCGGATGCCAAGTTTGCCCGCCCTGCCCTCTCTGCCCTGCTGCGCCTGACTTTGTGTTTCACAGGCTCTGGCAATGCACTGCGACGGCGGCGCAAGAGTTGAGGGCTCAGTCGGCCCCGCCCTCAGTCGTCAGTGATGCCATTGATGTGTGGGCGGCTCAGGCGGAGCTCGACCCTCACGTTCACGCTCTTTATACGAGAGGAGCTTTCGCTCACCCCGCCGACGGTTTGCCGCGCCCCGCCGCGGAGGGTTCGAATGCTTTGCTTTACGCGTGGCATTGCAAGGAGCCCCCCAGCCCTGAAGGCCCCAGGGTTCCTGAGAACGGGGAAACGTGGGGCCATGTATTCATTGGTGGGTCCTGCCAGCGCCGCCCGATCAAAGAACTTTCCAGGGCTGCTTACGCGGCTTGCATGCATGCGGAGGACGGTACTTCCCTGCATGGGCCCACCTTCCGCAGACTCCGCAGGCCTCTGGGTATGTTGCGCGCTGTGTTGCTGGACAGTTCATTGCGTTGCCTTCTATCATGTATTCTGACTGCGCTAATGTAGTTACTCACAGTAAGCTGCCGTTGCCAGAGCGTTACTCTGGCAGGAGGTCTTACTCTGGTATGCTTACGCAGGCCAATAACTTCGAGGGCCGTCTTGTAGAATATATAGTTAAAGTTAAAGTTCACCTGGATGTCAACGAAGAAGGCATCACATATAGAGACAGCTTTCTTAGGAGGGGAAACGCTGACGTGGATGCGAGTGCCAAGCATGCACTGCAGCTTCACCCGTCTGACCCGTTTGGATCAGCCAAAGTGGACAAGCTAATTGAAGCCGCCAGGGGCCATTGCATCCTTGCGGCCAATTTGCCCCCTCTGTGGCCCAAGCTCTCCCTCGATGTCCTTTTGGTCACCCTCTCCCTCTCTGAGCGCCCTGATAGGCCCTGCTGAGTAGGTCACCGTTGGGAATACTGGGCTGGCGTCTGGAGGTGCGCAGTGCGCCTCCGAGGGAGCAGGGGCTTGTCTCGCCCTCCCCCAGGAAGATGCCCCCAGGATTCCCAGGTGCACGCTGCTCGCCAGGACGCCCTAGGACGCAGAACGGTGGCGGTCGACTGTTCTGACAAGTCTATTCTATTCATCTGCTTGAAATGCAAGTGCTACTCCTCGGGGGAAAAGGTCAGAGGCCTAGGTGATGTGTGCAAAAAGCCCACGAGGGCTGGACGCCAAGGATGGGCTGCCTTGCGCAAGGGTTTCCATCCTCTTTATTCTCGTTCAAGCAAGGGTGTGACTGTGGACGATACCACGTTGGTGCGATGTTTCAACACTTTCTTGGCGTCGAATTTTGATTTTTCTGGCGGCGATGATAAGAGCTGCAACCCCATCAGCTCTGCTGGTGGTGGCCCCAGCTCTCAGCGGAGACAGGAGCTCACGTTTCCTTCTGAGCCAGGTTTCCTCAGGTCGACAGTCTCGGAAGGCGGCTTGGACAAGCCCAGCTCATTTTCCTGTGCTGCAGCAGTTTCCTTCATTGCGCGCCGCCGCCAGGAGGGGTCTGACAGTTCGGATTGACTCGTCACACTCATTATTCTTTCTCGGTCGGCAGGCGTGCTCCTGCTCTTCTTTCCAATGGCAGTTGCTGCTGCGCGGCCCGATGCGACTGACCCTTTTGGCAGGCACCCGTGCAATGCCCCACATCTGGGGCGAGGTCAGCCGTCGTCCTGGCGCTCGCTGCACCTGGGGCGGCTGACCTCGTCGTCCTTGTGTGGGTGGTCGATGTTTTTGCCTTTCTGTTTCTCAGTTCAGCTCATTGGCCCCAGGCCACTGCGCTGTCCCCCGGGAAGGAAGCTTTTGTTTGCATACCCCACATCTGGGGCGAGGCCTGTTGTCGCCCTGGCGCTCTCTGCACCAGGGATGGCCGGTCTCGTCGTCCTTGTGTGGGCGGTCGTCTCTTGTTTCTTGTGGTAGCTTTTCCTCCACTTGTCCTGCCTCGGCCTTGGTGCGCAGCGTGCGTTCGCCCCGCGAGCGCGCTCGTCTCCGTTCGGCGCGCGTGTCAGGCACCCCGCCTCAGGGGGAAGGCGCGAGGCACACTCGTGCGTGGGCATTTTTCTTTCTCCGAGCACGGGGGCGGGCTTTGACCCGCCCTGGCCGCGGCTTTGGTAGTGGCGTTGCTGCGGCCAGGCTGCTTCGAGCTCCTGGCCCCAACACTTCTCGGCGGAGGCAGCACGCTGGCTGCGATTGCCGCCCGCTCACGTGCACAGTGGCGAGTGGGTGGTTTGCGCTGCTCTTACATCTGCAGGATTGCCTGCAGGTGCCTCGTCTATCTCTGCCTAATCGGGTGGAGAGTTGCACAGCAGGTCGCCCTGCTGAAGCCAGCTGTGCCGCCTGCCACACAGCTCGTTGCACTTCAGGCAGTGAGGGCGTTGAGCCTAAAAAAAAACTCATCCCTTGACCTGCTGATGCCTCTGCCCTGCTTTGTTCTTCACACAGTGGTATTATCGCCTCTTTCTCTCCGTTTCGGCTTCGAACGTTTGGCCGCAAGACGGACCGCGTGACCGAGAGAGACGCAGATGACGTACCAATCGAATAATAGGGGGAGGACGAAGACGACGATGAAGACGATGACAACGACGAGTCAACCATAAAGCCTTCGCTGAGCGTTCGTTCCGCGAGCCTCTTGGAAGCCTACGGGAGACCTTTCGGAACCATGTCGGAGCCATTTGGGAAGTTTTGTTTGGCCCACTTGGGGTCTCCATGAGGGCCTCACAGAGGTCCTTGGAGGTGTCTGAGAGCCCTCTTGAAGCGGCGATCTTGGGTCATATGGCCCAGATGACGGGAGGAGGAAGAGGAGGAAGAGGAGGAGGAGGAAGAGGAGGAAGAGGAGGAGGAGGAGGAGGAGGAGGGAGGAGGGAGGAGGGAGGAGAAGGGGGGGGCTTTCGCCCCCCCCCCCCCTCGGAAGCGGGCAGATCGCCTATCGGGATTTTTTTTGTGGGACGTTTTCGAGGCGTTCTTGGGGTTTGTCTCGAGGCCCTCTTGGGCCTGAGGTGTTCCTGATGCTTCACGAGCAGAGCAATGGAGGAAAGACGAGAAGAACACAAAACAATGGTTCCGTTTGGATGTTTGAAGGATGCTGGCATCCTTGGGGGTCTCGCAGGGCACGTGGAACCGTCTTGGGGTTGTGTTGGGGCGTTTGGGATGTATATCAGAGGCTGTTTTACGTACGCCATCTCTAAGTAGCGTGGGCAAGATTGGAGGCAATCTTCGGATGTGTGGCCTCTTGGAGCCATATTGGGTTTACTTACACGTTCCAATGGGTCGCAGTGCTTCCCCCCCAAGAGCAAGGGAAGGAGGGGTTTGGGAAGAGGGAAAAAACTCAGAGGATTGGTGGGAATAGCGTCGTGAACACCTTGATATGCCAGTGAACTAAACAACTGTCGCTGCATGTCAGGCCGTGATTGATCATGTTTGGACGAACCGTTCAGAAAAATAGTGGAGATATTCAGCTGAGCGTGAACATAGGCAGGTACACGTCGCGTTTTTTACTACAAGTCACGTGGTATATCAATATTCCCAAGCACGAGAGCTCAAGCAGCAACGGCCGCATGCGCAGGGGAAGACCGATCCCAGCTTCTGCATTGTTCTCTACCCTCAAACTCTAGGCCTCCCGAATGGGTCCGAGTAGATGGGGTCAGGTGATCGCGCCGCATCGCCGATGCGGCTAGATGTAGAACCCTGTGTTCTCCGCGCCGGCGTCGCCGATGCATTGCCAACGTCGCTGGTGCATCGCCGATACATCGCCGATGCGATGCGATCCTCCGATCCCGTCTGCCCGGACCAAATCTAGGAGGCCTCCACACATGTACGCGCCGCATGCGGTCACCTTTCCCGTCGTTTTCCCGGAGGACGGCGATGGCATCCTGACAACCAATGAGTTGCGGAGCGGACTGATTGGAGTGCTCAATGGCCATTGAGTTACAAAGTTTGTCATGGCAGAACTTGTTCTCATTGTCAGTATCGATAGATGAGTCTCTCTCTCTCTCTCTCTCTGCTCCTCTCTCTCTCTCTTTCTCTCTATATGTTTGTCAGTTTTGTTGTATCTCTCTCTCTCTCCTTCTGTTTCTCTTGGTTGTTATCTCTCTCTCTCTCTCTTCTTGTTTTCTCTCTCTCTCTGTATCGAAGACGCCTACGGCGACTCACCGCCGCCTCCCTGCCTTTTGGAAGCGCCTTCTTGGCCGAACGCTGCGGCCAGAGCTCGGACAAGCTACCGGACTACGTGTTCCCCAAGCTGTCGTGGAAACCATTCGGGAAACACGTTGGGGAGAAAGAAGGAGGAGGAGAGGGAGGAAGAAGGAAGAGGAGAAGGCCTCTTGGGAGCCTCTTGGAGGCGTCTTGGGAGCGTCCTTGGGACTCTTGGGACCCTTTGGAGGCTCCTTCGGAGGCTCCTTGGCCGTCTGAGGATGTTTCTGGCCAGTATAACGCCGTTGGAAGCCGTCTTGTGGCCTTCTTTTGGCCGACTTGGGGCCCTCTTGGGGCGTTTCAGGCACGTTTTGGAGGTTATCTTGGGCATCTTGGAGGTTCCCTGGGCCGTCTGGAGGCCTCTTGGGCTGTCAGGGGGTCATCTCGGAGGCCTCTTGGATGCTTTTGGGGCCGTCGTGGTGGCCCCTGGGTCTTGGGCCGTCCGGAAGCTGAAAATGAGCAAACGCCAGAACCCTTTAAACACAACGAAAATCATTGATTTTGGACCCGCTTCGGGCCTTCCTGAAGGCCGTCCTCTTGGAGGCATCTTAGGCCGTCTTGGAGGCCTCTTGGACCATCTTGGGCGACCTTGAGGCCATCTTCGGTCATCGTGTGGGCATCGCGGACCCTCTTGGGCCCTGTTGGGGCCATCGAAGCCGTCTTGAAGACCATCGTGGCCGTCGTCGAGGCCGTCTTGAGACCGTCTGGAGCGGGAATGCTGACGACCGTGGAAGCTTACAGATCTCTGTGGAGACGATTGTTGTGAGTTTTTTCTTGGCGCGTCTTTGTGGGTCTCTGCGCGTCCTTCTGGGTAGCCCTCGAGTCGGGCCGAAGGCCTTCAGGAACTTGTAAAGAGACCAACAGCTACCTAATGTTCGGCGCGCCGTGCACTCTTGAGGCAAGCCGCAGGGGACGGCGCATCGAAGACGCCTACGGCGAATCACCGCCGTCCCCTGCCTTTGGGAATGGCCCATGTGGCCGAACGTTGTGGTCAGAGCTCTGCCAAGTTATCGGACCATGTGTTCCCCCAGCCATGGTGGAAACACTTCGGGGAACACTTGGAGGAGGATGGCAGGAAGATCCGGAGGAGACATCATCCAGGGAGCCTCTGGGGTGCAATCTTGGCGTCTCCTGGGAGCTTCCTGGATGCCTCTTGGAGGCATCTTAGGGGCCTCTCCTTGGGCCTCTTGGGAGCTTTGGGGGCTTCTTGGGGGCCCTTTGTGGCCGTCTTAGGGCGTTCCTGGGCATCTTGGGCCGTCTTGGAAGCCTCTTGGACCTTGGGTCGTCATGGGGCCCGTTCGTGCAGTCTTGGGGTCATTTTTGGTGTCGTTTGGTGCGACCGGGCCTCTTGGGTCGTATTGGAGCGTCGGACGTCCGAAAAGGCAGGAACAATAAAATCCGTCCAGAACCTCCTCGGGAAATCATTGAGTCTTGCCTCTTGGGACCCTCTGGGAGCTCCTGTTGGAGCCGTCTTGGGGCATCCTGGGGGCCGCTTGGGCCGCCTGGAGGCCCTCATCGGCGTCCTGGATTCCGTTGGGGTCGTCCCGGGATCCTGTGTGACCATCTTGGAGACCTCTCGGGTTTTGGGGCCACTTGATCTCTCTCTCGGCATCGCTCGGACGTGCGCATTTTTCCTTTGGCGAGGACCATCGAGGAGCATCCTTGATCGTTTGGCGAAGAAACCACGCACGAAACCGAAAAAAAACACACGGAATGGACGTCCGAGCGATGGCGAGCTTGTGGGGACGGAGAGCCACGGCACGCCCCGGAGAATCCGTGAGTGTTGCGTCCGGGCGTTCCATCCCGGGGGCAGAGGGCCGAGGCCTCGAGGGGCCCGCGGGCCTCGAGGAGGACCGAGGTTCGGGGCGGGGATCTATACGCAGCCACCGCCCGGGGGGTCGGGGAGGATGATCAAGGATCGAGCTTCGAGGGCCGAGGGTCGAGAAGGAGGAGGACGACGGCGACGGCGATGGCGACGAAGAGGGGTGGGGTGAGGACAACGAGGAGTTCGGGGCGGGGTTCGATTCGCGGATCTCCACAGGCGGTGAATATGTCGGGCGAAGGGAACTATGCACATGCACCGATCCTGGCAAGGCCCATCCCTGACCCAGGATCGGTGCATATACCTTCCCAGCCAAGGTAGGAGGGCGTGTGCACCGATCCTGGGCTCGGGATGGGCCTGGCCAGAATCGGTGTATGTGCATAGTTCTTTTTCCTCTAGATATGGATATATTTTGGGGGGCCTTTGGGGGCCAACGTGTGTCCCTGTCCTCCGCCCGCTGGGTCCCCAGGACGTCGGTTCCCAGGCGGTGGATATGGAGGAGTCCCCGCCTCGTACGAGGCTCGAGGCAAAGACCTGCGGACTCCAGCTCGTGCCGCGCAGCACTGTGGCAGATTCCGCGACCTGGAAATACCAATCTGGGCACAGCCACCTCCAGGGTTAAGTCGGGCCTGTCCCTCTACAGGGGGAAAATTCAAAAATAGTCGAAACAAATAGTCCGGGGACGATTTGTTTGACCATGTTTGAATACTTTTGGAGTCTTTTCCGGGGATTTTCAATTTCTCGTACAAAATCCCCTGTAAGGGGACATGCCCGACCTAAAGGTACCAATCTGGGCGCTGCCCCCTCCAGGGTTTGAAGGCGACACACGCGGGCCGCTCAAGACGTTTCCGGGGCGGCCCAGTGGCGCCAGGAAGCCCTGAGAGAGCACAAATTGGCGACAAGAGGCCCCAAAGAGGGGCAGAGGACAGCTCGAAGAGAATTATCCAAAAGGCCGCAAGAGAGTCCTAGAAGGACCCCCAGACGGCCCAGGTTTTCAAAATCTTAGACTCACCTTCGATATCGGAGGTTGGGGGGTGAGATCGCAGTGAAACTGAGACCCCCCACCGGGAAATCGGTTTCGGTTTCGTGTTCGTGTCGTGCGTGCGGGCGAGGCGAAGTTGCGCGTGATCCTCCTATAGCTAGGCCGAAGTAGGAGCGAAAGTCCGTGCGCCCGTCCGCCAGTGGCCGGTTGGGCCGGGCGGTGTCCTGGGTGTCCCGGGTGTCAGTAGGAGCGAGAGTCCGTTTCCCGTCCGCCGGTGGCCGGGAGGTGTCCCAGTTGGGCCGGGCGGTGTCCCGGGTGTCCCGGGAGTCCCGGCGCTAACCATGTCGCTAATTTCATAATTCATTTTTGTCGGCGCTTGCGGCGGGCTTTCTTATCCATTCCAGCTTCCAACCCATCTTAGCGAAAGTCCGTTTCCCGTCCGCCGGTGGCTGGGAGGTGTCCCAGTTGGGCCGGGCGATGTCCCGGGTGTCCCGGGTGTCCCGGGCGTCCCGGCGCTAACGCATGTCGCTAATTTCATAATTCATTTTTGTGACAGGCTGGAGGTCAGTCAGGGTGGGCATTTGATCTCAATCCCCCCCCAATTTCTTTATCGCCCGCAGGGCGGTCGTGTAGGTATGGTATGGATTCGCTGCATTCCCCGTTCTTCGGCTCAGCACTGTTCCAGAGGGCCTCAGAGGAGTACGAGAGACCCCCAGGAAGGCACCCAGAGAGCCCCAGGACTGCCCCGAGAACCCACAAGACGCTTTCAAGACGTCCCAAAAAAAGTCCCGATAAACGCGCTCCATACGCCCCCGAGGGGCGTCCAAGGTGACCGCGAGAGGCCCTTCAGAGCCCAGACTCTGCGTTCAATCATTACCACCATGCTCTTCACCCTCCCCGTCTCCAACGTGAAAGCGTGTAACACATAGCATCAGTTGTTAATCATATCAGTGTTGCTTTTTCTGTGAATGTACCACGCGCACCCCGCTCCCAGCCCACCATCGTCTAAACAGCACCCGTCCTAAGTGCGATCTTGAAGACCACCTATATTTCCTGGCTCCGTGTCCAACCAACTCCGTGCACTTCACCGCCCTGGTTTCAAATACAACATTCGGCCCCGACTGCAGCTTGTTAAAGTCATGTCTTTCTCTGAACACGCCACCAAATCTTGCACACATTCTGACCAACAAGTCACCGCCACCTCCCAGAGGACAGTCGCCCCAGGGGCAATTTGAAAGTTAATCCATCAGCATTGTATCCAGATCCTCCTCCAACGCGCCGGTATGTAAAACGCACTCATGTGTCGCACACACACACACACACACACAAACACACATACACCCTCACCATAATCGCGTGTCTCCGCGCCCAAAGAGAGTATCGGTACATGGTGGATGCGGGGGGTGATGGATTGCAACAGTCAAGGCGCTGAAACAAGGACCACTTCGGGCTCAGGGTGAGCCGTGATGTTCGGGCCGCTCCGTGGATCCAGGTCGGGGAGCTCGCTCAAAGCCGACGCTCGCTGCGGCCAGAGAAGTTCCTTCACTCCTCAGTCTGTCTTCCTTCTGGCAGAACGACGGCTGCACACGTGCAAGTGTCCTGCGCGGTTCTCTGCGCGTGTGCACAGAAGAGAGCCCAGACGCCAACGGCGAGTCCTCCACCGTGCCCCGTCGCAGGCCCCCGCGGCGGCCCGGGGCCGGACGGCTTCTGAAAAGTCATCTGCGCCTTCTCCGCAGCCACAGAGGGCTTCTCAGAAGGCCGGATGGCTTCTGAGAAGCCTTGACGCCTTCCGAGAAGATGTTTCCCCTTTCCATCTCTCGTTTTCCCCCGTCGCGCCGTGGAGTCTGACACCAACCTTGAGGCGCATCGAGCCCATCGGAGACCGTCGTCACGCCGACTGAGCATAATTGAACAATTATGGACGTGCTCTG